TTTTTAGTAGAGACGGGGTTTCAACGTGTTAGCCAGGATGGTCTCGATCTCCTGACCTCATGATCCGCCCGCCTCGGCCTCCCAAAGTGCTGGGATTACAGACATGAGCCACCGCGACCGGCCAGAAGCCAGTATTTCTATATTTTAATTAACTCTTCTTTTGTTTCCTTTATGATTTAAAAGACTAATGCATAAAACAATATTTATAGCCTATGTTAATGAGTATATGGTACATAAAGACAGTTTGTGACAATATAACAAGGGCACAGTGAAGGAGTTTTGTAGGCTACTAAAGATAAGATTATAATAAATTTAGGACATTAGTTACAATCACTGGAGTAATCACTAAGAAAATAATAAACCTGCACACAGATGTTTATAACAGCTTTATACATAACTACCCAAACCTAGAAGCAACCAAGAAGTCCTTCAGTAAATGAATGAATAAATAAATTATGGTACATACACACAATAGAGTATTATTCAGCACAAAACCAAAAATGAGCTATTAAACCATGGAAAGACATGGAGGAAACTTAAATGTGTATTACTAAGTGAAAGAAACCAATGTGAAAAGGCTACATACTGTAAGATTCCAACTATATGACCATTCTGGAAAAGGCAAAAACTACGGAGGCAGTAAGGTGACTGGTTGTGAGGAGTTCAAGATTTAGTGAAAGACCAGGCATAGTAGCTCATGCCTGTAATCCCAGCACTTTGGGAGGCCAAGGCAGACAGATCACTTGAGCCCAGGAGTTGAAGACCAGGCTGGGCAACATAGAGAAACCCCGTCTCTACAAAAAAAATAAACTGAGTGTGGTGGTGTGCACCTGTACTCCCAGCTACTAGGGAGGCTGAAGTAGGAGAAAAAATATATATATATTTATCTCAGAAAAGGGAGCAAGAAGAGAATAAGAAAAGTAGAGTAGAAGCTGGGCATAGTGGCTCATGCCTGTAATCCCAACACTTTGGGAGTCTGAGGTGGGAAGATTGCTTGAGGTTGGGAGTTTGAGACTAGCCTGAGCAACACGGTGAGATCCCACTCCTAGCAAAAAATTAAAAATTAGCTAGGTGTGGTGGCACGTTCCTGTACTCCTAGCTACTCAGGAGGTTGAGGCAGGAGGACTGCTTGAGCCCAGATGTTTGAGGTTACAGTGAGCTATGATCACACCACTGTACTCCAGCCTTGGCAACAGACAGAGATCCTGTCTCGAAAATAAATAAATAAAAATGGAGTAGAAAAATTCAATTAAAACCAAAAGAAGGTAGTAATAGAACTCAGAGAAAAAAAGATAAACACTTGCAAAAAACAAAAACAAAAACAAAAAAACCTGCAAAATGCCAGAAGCCCTTTTGTTGTATAATAATTTGGCTGGTTTTTGTCCCTGGTTTCTGGAAGACAGCCTCTAAGTCTAAACCTCTGGACTGTCCCCCAGTGATAGGAGTGCCTTTGTTATTCATAGTGGATACCTCAGACCACACCTGATAAGGTGACTCATGGTTGGCCTCTAGACAGTTTCAGGATGGGGGGCTGGCCATGCCAGAAAGAATGATCATATCTTTAGGAGGTGGAGGCTTTGAGCCACACAGCAATCAGTCTGACCTCCTGACCTAGGGAGGGGCACAAGGCTGGAGATTGAATTCAATCATGTGGCCAATGATTCACTCAATCACACCTACGTAACAAAGCCCCAGTGAAAATTCTGCACACCCAATGCTCAAGTGAACTTCCCGATCAGTGACAGACACTGATGTGTTAGGAGGGTGATATATCCTAAGGACGCATAAGGTTTGTGTTTGAGATCCTCTAAGATCTTCCCCTTTATGTTTATTTTCTTTTGGCTGCAGTGAGCCATGAAGGTCCTAATTTGTATCCTTTATAATAAAAATGTAATCCTAAGTATAGTGCTTCCCTGAGTTCTATGATTTGTTCCAGCAAATTACTGAGCTGAGATGCTAGTAGAAATTCTGGAATCTGTAGACAGTTGGTCAGGAGTGCATGTGGCCTTGGAAACTCTAAGTTTGCTGCTTGCTTATGAAGTGATGGCAGTTTTGTGGGGGACTGTGCTATAAACCTATTAAATTTAACCTACCTCTCAGTAGTTACCACCAGGATTATTACATCCTATTGGTAATTACTTTAAATGTTTCTCTCTCTTTCTTTCTTTCTTAGAGATGGAGTCTTGCTCGGTCACCCAGGCTGGAGTGCAGTGGTAGAATCACAACTCACTGTAGCCTCAAACTTCTGGGCTCATGCAATTCTCCTGCCTCTGCCTCCCAAGAAGCTGGAACTACAGGTGCATGCAACCTCACCTGGATAATTGTCTTAAACTATTAAATTAAATAGCAGACACTGGTCAGATGCGGTGGCTCACACCAGTAATCCTAGCACTTTGGGATGCCAAGGCAGGCAGATCACTTGAGGCCAGGAGTTTGAGACCAGTGTGGCCATCATGGTGAAATCCCATCTCTACTAAAAATACAAAAACTAGCCAGGTGCAGTAGCACATGCCTGTAATCCCATCTACGCGGGAGGCTGAGGCACAAGAATTGCTTGAACCTGGGAGTGGGAGGCTATAATGACAGAGTGAGACTGTCCCAGTAAAAATGAATTTAAAAAAAAAAAAAAAAAAGCACAGACTGACAGAATGGATCTTATAAAACAGGACACAATAATATATAATCTAAAAGAGACTCATTTGAACCCAAAGACAAAACCAAAACAAAGTAGGGGTAGCTGTTCTAAAATCAGACAAAACAGACTTTAAATTAAATATTATTACAGGAGAGAAAGAAGGACATTATAAAGGAGTTAAGGTAAAGGTAAAGGAGTCAAGCCATCTAAAAGATATAAAAATTATAAACATACATGACCTAGCAACAGAGCCCACAAATATAGGAAACAAAAATTTACATAACTGAAGGGAGAAACAGAGACGGTTCTACAGAAATAGTTAGACATATTACCATACTTCCAATAATGGACCTATTAGGACATGATCAAAGAAGAATGAAAGAAAAATAACTATTGGTGAGGATCTGGAGATACTGAAACCCACTTTATACATTACTGTTAGAAGTATAAAATAATGTAAATGCTGTGAAGAACAGTTTGACAGTTCCTCAAAATCTTAGATATAGTTACCATATGATCTAGCAATTATACTACTAGGAATATACCCCCAAATTGAAAACAGATGTTCAAGCAAAAACCTGCACATAAATGTTCATAGCAACACTACTCACAACAGTCAAAAGGTAGAAAGAACCCATATACTCTGACAAACAGGTCAATCAAATATGGTTGAGTATTCCTTATCCGAAATGCTTGGGACCAGAAATATCTCAGATTTTGGAATGTTTATATTATATTATACTTACCGATTAAGCATCCCTAATCTGGAAATCTGAAATCCCAAATCCAAAATGCTCCAATGAGAATTTCCTTGGACATGACCTTTGAGCATCATGTTGGGTGCACAAAAAGTTTTGAATTTTGGAATATTCCCGCAAGTGGAATACTATTCAGACATTAAAAGTGAGTGAAGTACTCATACATAACATGAATGCACCTTGAAAACAATATGCTAAGTAAAAGAAGCCAGGCAAAAAAGGTCACAAATTATATAATTTCTATCATATGAAATATCTAGAATAAACAAATCTGTAGAGACAGACAATTAGTAGTTGCTGGCAGCTGGGAGGAAGGGGGAATGAGGAGTGACTGCTTAATGGGTATACGTTTCCTTTTGGGGTGATGCAAATGCTTTGAAACTAGGTAGTGGTGATGGTCACACAATATTGTGAATATACTAAATGCTTCCAAATTGAATAAAATTAAAATGGTTAATACAACAAATTTTATTCTATGTGTATCTTATCACAATTGAAAAAAATCTATGCACAAGTTTTTCAATTATTAAATCAGAACCAGTTATAGACAAAAATACACACAACAAACAACGGATATACACTACATACCTGTTAATGCTGCTGGTTTGGATAGTGTACTATATTGATTTTGTGTAGATATCATACTTTGACGTGGACTTAGTGTTGGTGATGCAACAAGTGACAGTTCTTCAATAATAATACTGCTTTTGGGATGATTCTTGGGAAGTTCATTTAATCTCTGCTCTAATGAATACTTTAAAAGGTCCAACTTCTGACTTGATTCATTAAATCTTGCTTGAGCCTTGCACAGGGAAAAGACAATTGTTGTCACTCAAATAATCACGTACTTTGAATAATGTATTTATTAAATCAAATAAAAATTTTATTTAGAATTACTTCTGAAAGTGCTTTTCTGTCTGTTACTTTTCCTGAGCCAAGTAATTTCATTACATTCTTTGCACCTTCTGCTACTGCAAACTCTATCCTAAAATGATGCCTTAATTCTTCCATCCGAAGTTCAAGAGGACTTATCACAGGTTTTGCTAGAAGGGAAAAAAGAAATTTTAATTGCACCATTTATTTGACTTTCCAATTTGCAGTGATTAAAATCATGAAAAGAAATGAATTCCCGTGACATTACAGTAATTTAGTCCTTACATCAATAAACACTGAAATACAAGTATTTGATATGATACTGAAATTCAGTCTTTCATTTTTGTCATTATACATCAAAATTACAAATCTGGAAAAAAGATTTTAGAGGTGAAAGATATCCAAATATTGTAACACTGGGAGACTGAAAGTTTCTACTCCTACTCTTAGCAACTAGCTGTAAAGATTTCTTCTGGAATTAAAAATAAATAAATAAAACAAAACCAAAAAAACAAAAGAAAACAAAATCATACTCTTAAACAGGTAACAGATTGTTTTAAAAATACAGACTGATTGTAAGTATTTGATAATCTATTTAAATGAAGAGATATATTCTAGATCAATATCTTCTTGAAATATAAGGGCCAAATATCTAAAAGCATCTATCCAAGTGAAGAGTCTAAAACTCAAGATTAAAAAAAAAAGACAGTAATAATAATGCTTCCTCCCCCTTAACTCTGAACCACTGCCCTGTTCCTACATAAGATTATTTAGCACCATTATGCTCATAAGAAGGAGGACAATTTATTCCATCACCATTATCAAAAGCCAATTCATTAGTCTGGACTGCCTGAAGAATCTGCATTCGTATGACTTCTATTTTTGTCTTGCTATCCTGGAGCAGTTGCTGAGCTGTACCATGGAGTTTCCGATCCTATTAAAAAAAAAAGTTTGAAAAATTAAGCAAATAAAGGGGAAAATGAAACATTTTCATATCTTCTAAACAGATCAAGTGATGTATCAGCAAGTGAAAAACAGTTAAAAGAATGCTGTTAGCGCTATATCTTATTGATAAATTTACAAAAAAAAGAGCCATCAAACTTACAGAGTGATAATTGTGAAAAACAACTCCATTAGTTAAGACAGTTTGGGAGAGAAGTAAATCTTATTATGGCTGTGTTTTTAAAATTTATCTTTTATTGCATATACTTGCAGTGTACATGATGTTTTGGTATGCATACACAGAGTGAAATGATTATTAACAGTCAAACAAATTTACTTCTACGGTTACCCCTTTTCATGTGTATATGTATTACGTGTATCTAAAATCTACTCTCTTAGCATATTTTCGGTATATAATATTAACTGTAGTTCATGCTATATATTAGATCTCTGGACTTATTCATCCTACCTAACTCTAAATATGTACCTTTTGACCTACTTCTCCCCATTTCTTCTTCCTCCCTATTGCTGGTAACTGTATTCTACTGTGTTTCTATTTATTCAGCTCTTTTTTTTGGATTCCACAGGGAAGTGAGATCATGCAGTATTTTTCTTCCTGTGTCTGGCTTATTTCACTTTGCATAATGTCCTCTGGGCTCACCCATGTTGTCATATATGGCAGTATTCCCTTTTTCAAGGCTGGACAATATTTCATTATGTATATACATATATATACACACACACAGCACAATACATTTATCTGCTAACAGATACTGTAGGTTTGAATCTTGTTACTATTTTTTAGAAAATCAAAATCCAAATTCACATTTGTAATTTTCTTATTTTTGCTATACACAAAAAATAATTTTTCTTTACTATGATCAATAACTCTAAGATTCAGAAACATAGTATGAAATGAATGCCTCCATGATTAAACCTAAAATAAAAACCTAATCAGATAGCATTTGTGTTCCAATTAATTATGCTAAGAGAGGTAGAAAACAGCACTTGTCAACCCTGGTGACAATGAGAAAGGTCCCTAGAAAGACTTTAATGTCAAAAAATGAGACCTTCTTAATAAAGCTGGAGAATAGACTTCTGTCATTTCTTAAGATTTCAAAAAAAGCTCTGAATTAAGTGAAATAATGTTAATGCCTGATACGATTTGGTGTTTGTCCCTCCAAATCTCATTTTGAAATGTAAGTCCTCAGTGTCTGAATCGAGGCCTACTGGGAGGTATTTGGGTCACAGGGACAGATCCCTCATGAATTGCTTGGTGCCACCCTCACAGCATGAGTACGTTCTCATTCTATGAGTTCACGTTGGTTGTTGAGCTGTTTGTTCAAAAGAGCCTGGTACTTCCTCCTCTCTCTCTTGCTTCCTCTCACCAGGTGACATGTTGGCTGCCCTTCATCTTCCATCATGACTGTAAGCTTCCTGAGGCCCTCAACAGAAGCACATGCCAGCACCATCCTTCTTGTACAGTCTGTAGTACCACGAGCCAAAAATAAACCTTTTTCTTTACAAATTACTCAGTCTCAGATATTCCTTTACAGTAACACAAATGAACCAATGCAATAGCATACCATTGCTTAGTTCCAGTAACACTGAATGTGAGTGACAGAAGGAATTGTATGCCAAATAATGACCTACTCAAAGATGTCAATGTCCTAAGCCTCAGAACCTTGTTAGTAAGTTACCTTACATGGCAAAGGAGATTTAAGGTAGCAAATAGAATTAATGTTGTTAATCATTTGACCTTAAAATACAGAGACTGTCCTTGATTATCCAGATAGGCCCAATGTAATCACAAGGGTCCTTAAATGTAGAAAAGGGAGGAAGAAAAGGTCAGAGTGATGTGATGTGAGAAAAACTGGACCTGCTATTGCTGGCTTAGAAGAAGCCAGGAGCCAAGAAGTGTGAGTAGCCTCCAGCAGCTGGAAAAAACAGGGAAACATTCTGCCCTACATCCTCCAGAAGGGAATGCAGTCCTGCCAATACCTTGATTTAAGCTCAGTAAGGTTCACTTCAGACAAAATAACTACAAAATTATAACGTAATACATTTCTGTTGTTTTATACCACTAAATTAGTGATACTTTGTTACAGCAACTGTAGAAAACTAAGAAATCTTAAAAAGAAATATTAGAAGTTAATGCCACCTCCTGTTTTTAGAGTTGCATCAGTTGTTAAAGACTGGTATCCACACACACATACACACACAAATTGATTAAACATCAAGTTAGAAAGTACTTACTCATAAGAAAGGACAAGCTTTGCATTTTATTTAAGCATCTCTATTTTTAATCACTAAGGCAATCAGTACTAATTTGGAAATAAAATAGCACACAATCAACCTGTATCCTCCCGGAGATTCATGTCTCTTAGAACCCAAGAGACACGCTTGATGACGGCAGTATTATTTCAATAAATCAAACACACACTATTTGACACTGAATAAAGAAGAAAAAGATTGGAGATAAGGGGAATAAAAGTGAGCTGAGATATACTCTGCTGAATACCAAACTCAGGTTAATATACCATGGAGGAAAAAACATTGCATATTTACAAAATTTATAAATTTTTCTTCTATTTCTTTCATATTCCCAAAGTCAGTCATTTAGAAAATAGCTTCTGGCCAGACTGCTGCATAATGACATTTAGGTCAACAATGGAATACATATACCTATGTTTAGATATATTTAGATATACAAGTACTTACCATTGTGTTACAATTGCCTACAGTATTCAGTATAGTTACATGCTGTTACTACAGCTTAAGTGCAATAGGCTATACCATATAGTCTAGTACCTTCTAGAATTGTGTAAGTACACTCTATGATATCCACACAATGATGAAATCACCCACTGATGCTTTTTTCAGAATGTATCCCTGTTGTAATGCAATGCATGACTGAATTTCTTTGAGATCAGACTAGAGTAAAAGTATTCCAAAGCTCATAATTTAATGGGACAACCGTACTTTGCAGTCAGACAGACTTGAGCCCAAATCTTATTATATATAAACTTGGACAAATTATCTATTTTCTGAAAGCCTTAGGTTTCTTGCATAAACTATGTAAATTGTGATACCATTCTCTTCAATATAAAACTTTTGTTAGCATTAAACTAAAATTATATTGCCTAGCACATAATTGGCATTAAAATGTTCTCTTTTAGGACAATAAAAATAATGATTAAGTGGCTTGAAGTTCTAATGTAAAAGTATAAATATTAAGTAAACCATATAATATTACCCTCTTCAATTAAGCTACTTCTTTTATTATTTTATTGTCATGCAAAATGACAGTAGTTCCATCATTTTACTTCTTTGGAAATACTCCTTTCTTCACTATTTCAATTCAACAAGCAAGAAACAGCACTTGTATTTTATTTTCAAAATTGGTGAATTTTCCCACAGAAATTTCTGGAGGATCTGCAGGATGTCAACATATGATGAAACTTCTAAAATGGACTTTGGATATTATCTATCACAGGCAATACATAGTTATTACATATCAGTTTTACGTTTTCAGGCATTCAACGGAATTTTTATTGAGCACATAATACGTACAAGGGAAGAGATAAGGCTGGAGTATATGAACTGGTTTACATATTGGAGAAATCTGACTTATGTTGATAAAAACTTTGGGAAAGTTTTTACATATATGAGGTTGAACTACATGAAAATGCCAATGTCTGACTGATTTTGAACTAAAAAAACAGCAATTTTATATGGCTCAACCTAATAGACTAAAGTAATGAACTATTAGTAATTGGTACTCTATAATGCTGGTAATTATATTTGGAATAAATATTTTACAATTATAAGAATAACTAAACATTTATACTATTTTCAAATTATATGTTTTTTATTTTACAAAAAAATAACATCTTGTTTTGCAAGCTACAGTGGGACATTACAACACATTACATCACACAGAAAACTTTCAAAAAAGCCAATCATTGTTCTTATTAGTACCATCTAGGTAATAAATAGGCCAATCATTCTTATTTTTTCATCATATATTTATGTTAAAGTAACATACAGGAAGTAAGCCATAAATTACATGCCAGACCAGTGAAAATACAAATATTAGTCAATCAGAATGTTATCCGATGAAGCTTATAATTTGCTAGAAGACATACAAATGATTATTATATGCACTAGGAAGTTAAAAGTAGCTGAAGAAAATTCCCAAGAAATATGGAATCAGGCCAAGGATGGTGGCTCACGCCTGTAATCCCAGCACTTTGGGAGGCTGAGGCGGGCGGATCATCTGAGGTCAGGAGTTCAAGACCAGCCTGGCCAACATGGTGAAACCCTGCCTCTACCAAAAATACAAAAAATTAGCCAGGCATGGTAGTGCCCACTTGTAATTCCAGCTACTCAGGAGGCTGAGGCACGAGAATCACTTGAATCTGGCAGGTGGAGGCTGCAGTGAGCCAAGACTGCCCTACTGCACTCCAGCCTGGGTGACAGAGTGAAACCCTGTCTCAAACAAACAAACAAAAAAAAGGTGGAATCAATTGTAGTTGAGGGAATCCAGAAAGGCTTCCCGAGTCATTATAATAAATAAGTGTGGAATATGTCAAGACTGGAGATTTTCTCATGTTAAGTGCTTTTACAACGACAACAACAAAAACAAAAAAAAACAAAAACAAACTTCCACTAAAGAACCCAAGGGTACTTTTGGAAGTAACCTGGTTGTCATGGTGGTATCACATATGCATACATATGTATAGAAACATCCAAATTAATCGAAATGTATAACTAAATATCTGCAACTTTTTTCTATCTAAATTAGATCTCAAAGCTTAAACAAACAAAACTGGAGGACTGGCGGTTGGGGAGACCTGGATGGATAGTCTGGTATATCCATATGTGGAGGATTGGGGAACACTTAAAACCAATGCAAGATGCTGGTAAGAACCCCAAATTTTAATAAATACCTTGGTTTACCGCCTGAATATATATACAGGAGACATGTCTTTATTTTTATTATTTATTATTTTTTTGAGACGAAGTCTCAAAAACTCCCAGGTTCAAGTGATTCTATAAACAGGAGACATGGCTGGGCACGGTGGCTCACGACTGTAATCTCAGCACTTTGGGAGGGCCAGGCAGGGGGATCACTTGAGGTCAGGAGTTCGAGACCAGTCTGGCCAACATGGTGAAACTCCATCTCTACTAGCCATACAAAAAATTAGCCAGGCATAGTGGTGTGTGCCTATAATTCCAGGTACACAGGAGGCAGGCTGAGGGAGGAGAATTGCTTGAATTTGGGAGGGGGAGGTAGCAGTGAGCCGAGATTGCACCACTGCACTTGAGCCTGGGCGAGAGAGCGAGCCTCTGTCTCAAAACAACAACAACAACAACAAAAAACAGGAGGTATGTCTTTAACATATCTCATGAAGCCCCCAGAGATCGTTTCAAAGGATAAAAAAACAAAAAACAAAAAACAATGATGCTGCTTAAAGCCACACTACCAAATAAGAAAATGGCAAGCTAAACTAGTTATGTAATGGGGTAAAATAACTGCATCCCATTCCTCAGATCCTTGTGCTGACAATAAAAACATGTTAGTCATAAAAGGGATAATAAGAAAATAATTACAGTACACACAGTATGAAATAAGAAAAAGAACAATGTGTAAATTATGGGCCAGAGGAAGATAAATGGAATGGGCAGTGAAGCGGTATCAATTGTTTTAACAGATACTTATTGAGTATTTGTAGCAAATTACTTCAATGTAGTATTGTTTTAGGTATTGAAGATATGGTAATAACCAAGATAATGTCTCTGCCTGCATGAAATTTATTTTCTAATGCTGAAAACTGATGGTAAAGAAAGTGATCACATAAATTGTAATTTAAGGTAGTGGTAATGCAATAAAGGGATAAGAAGAGACACAGAGGTTGCTATTTATCTTAGGATAAGTAGTGAAGAGCTTGCTGAGGTGGTAGCATCCAAGTAGATGACTTAATGAAGGGAGAAAGCCACAAAAGTACTTGGGAGAACAGATACCTAGGCAAAGACATAGCAAGTGCAAAAGCCCTGAGGTAAGAGTGTGCTTGCTATGTTTAAGGGATAGAAAAGAAGCTAGTGTAGCTAGAGTGTAATGAGAGATGAAGGTGTTTTAGAAGATGAGATCAGAAGCTATAGGTTTTCAGAGTCAGAATAAGAATTTTGGATTTTAAGTATGAGGGAAAACCACTGGAGGGTTCTGAAGCAGGAGGGTGAAAATATCTGACAAATTTAAAAAGGACAGCTCCGATCATAACATGCACAAGGGTAATAATTTAATCATGTAGAATCCCATAACCAGAGTCCTGTTGACAATTTTTACTGCCAAACTGAATTAATCATCCCTGTCCCTAAATTTGCTCCCCCTCATGAATTCTCTGTCATTGTGAAGGGCACCATAATTTATCAGTCGATCCACATAACCAATCTAAGAACAATCTTTGACTCTGCCTCCTTCCTCATATCCAAGATACCAAAAGTATGACTCTTATCTTCACTGTTTTCACTGCTGTTACAAGAGAAAGGAAGCTATTTAACCTGTACTACTGCAAAACACTACTTAAACTTACTGCCTGCATATAAGACCTTCTTTAATTAATTCTTTAAGTCTGAGGAGGATGGATGTGAACTTTTTTTTTTTTTTTGAGATGGAGTTTTCCTTTTGTCGTTGCCCAGGCTGGAGTGCAATGGTGTGATCTCGGCTCAACACAACCTCCACCTCCCAGGTTCAAGTGATTCTCTTGCCTCAGCCTCCCAAGTAGCAGGATTACAGGCATGCAACACCATGCCCAGTTAATTTTGTATTTTTAGTAGAGACAGGGTTTCTTTATCCATGTTAGTCAGGCTGGTCTCTAACTCCCAACCTCGGGTGATCCGCCCACCTTGGCCTCCCAAAGTGCTGGGATTACAGGCGTGAGCCACCACACCTGACCGGATGGATGTGAAATTTCTAAACTTGAAATCTGATTGTGTATTTTCCCAGCTAAAAGGAGCTCCCTGCTTTCAGCAGCTCCATCTATCTTGTAAGATAATCACAACTGCTTAATTCTGTGCAAACTACCATATAACCTGGCTTTTCTTTCAGTTTCGTTATATCTCTCACTATGCCTCACCCACTTAAAACTCCACTGGTGGGGAAGGGAAAGAAGCCCTAATGGAATCACCTGGAGGACTTTTCCCAAACAAAATGAATGTCTTTCTGGAGATTCAGATTTGTTTCCCTATGGCTTTTAATTGAAAACAACTGCTAGAGTTGACAACTCTTACTATCAGAAGTACATTTTAGCTACCCTCAGATATGTTAGGTAAGAAATATGCTAAGAACTTGTGCTACAGCCACACCAAATCACTTTCATTCCTTAGAATAAGCCAGGCTATTTCACAGTTCCTTACTGTGTATATACTGCATTCAACCACACCACCATCCCTAAAAAGTAATTTTTTATTAAATGCCAAATCATCCTTCAAATATCATACTAAAACTTAAAAGATTTCATTCTGGCAGTTAAATGATTATTCTCCACTGTGCTTCCAAAGTCAGTCAAACAAATCACTGTTACACACTGTAACTATTCACACACGATATATCTCCTTTTAAGATAGCGGGTCTCTTAAAAGCAGGATATTATCTATTGAGTACCTAGTATGTAATAAGGACCATCTTTATTACACTTATACCCCACAGCCTAGCATAATGGCTATCAAACTTTTAACTAAATCCTTAGTGAATAAATTAATATTCCACATAATTAAAATTTATAATTTTCCCTAATCTAAAACGACGTACTCTGACCCTTTGAGAAGTTTAAAGATGAAAAATAAAAACAGTTAAGGTGGAATCTAGACAGAAATAACTGGCAGGCCTATCTCAGAGACAATAGTAGTTGCAAATGGGCTTTGGACATCCATTTGAGTCCCTCTCAAATTAATAAATCTAATTCAAAATAAAAACCTATGCAAAATTGACATATCTGTTTTAACAGGATGCTCACAGCCTTGTTCACTTTGGATCTGTGGTTGTTTTAGGTTATCTATTTGTTTTACTTTTAATATGTCCATAACTGTTCAACTTAGAGCAGTGGTTAGTAATCTTTTGTGGATTAAATACCACTTTGAGAATAAGGTGTAACCTACAGCCCTTTCATCCATACAACTATCAACACAGACACTTGCTTTTCCTATAACTTCAAAGGGTTCATAAACCCCTCAAACTAATCCCTCCACCCCAGATTTAAAAACTTTACTCCAAAGGTAGTAGCTGGGTTAATTTGAAAATGCTCAGCATAATGTGCTAAAATCGCAGTTCCAGGAACAAAGTATTTACTTAGAAAAAAAAAGGTCAAAATAACATTTTATAAAAATATAAAATCCCTAAAACTAAATGTCAGTGCTAAAAATAACAGCACAAACAATAACTCTATCATCCAATAAGAAATGTTCAAAGTTAGTGAAATAATATCCTATCAAATATCACATAAGTAAATAGGAACAAATACCTTTCTCTAAAAGTAACAAAAAATTCTTTTGAACATAAAATCTAATGCTCATAATTAACGTTAAAACATTTTTTATGAAAAGTACACATTTCTTTCTTTTTGATGTCTTCCCTAATGTCTTTTTTTCTTTCTCTTTAAACAATTTTTTTTTTTTTTTTGAGACAGGGTCTTGCTATATTGACCAGGCTGGTTTCAAACTCCTGGCCTCAAGGAATCCTCCTGCCTCAGCCTCCCAGAGTGCTACGTATACAGGTGTGAGCCACCAGGCTTAGCCTCAAATTTCATTTGGGGTGAATAGCTAGGATGCACGACTAAGAAAAAAAAATTTCCCTCTGATTTCAAATTCTTTTTAAACTGAAACAAACAAACAAAATACATAAGAACTTTTATTATGAAATTATTTTTAAAATATCTATTAAAATATAAAAAATTGATTTGCAGAGATAAAAATATTTAAAATACATGAGTTGAAAGTAAAAAGGTATATTTTATAATTTTATATCCTTCTTAGAATTTTTGGAAATTATTAAAACTATAGAACCTTAGGCTGAAGAGAACCTTGAGGATAATCTGGCTCAGTGGCTCACAACAAATTTTTTTTTTTTTTTTTTTTTTTTGCTGCATTATACCTAATAACAAGGACATGTTCTTATTACTAAGAATTGCTCCACATAACACTGATTTTCAGTTAGGAGTTATATGCCCATACCAGATTCCCAAGAATGCACAGGTCTAGGCCAAGCAATTATTGATGATGCCAAAATGTACCATCTTTTCATTTGCCCTCTCCCGAAAACTTGGGAGAGTGGTCTATAATGTGGAAAACTCATTATAGACTAAATTTTTTTAGATAATTTCTTTTTAAATAATTTTAGATTTACAGAAAACTTGCAGATATGGAAAGCTCTGTGTATCCTTTACCCATAAGGTCAAATTTTTGATTAACTAGGTCTTGGTAGGAATAAACAATTTTTAAAATGTTACTTTAAAAAAAAAAACCCATGAAACAAAACATGTTTCCAAATTCTTTTATTCACTCTTTCAAATTTTGAGGTAAAAATGATCTCAGATGTCATAATATAGTGTTTAAACAGTGAAATTACCAATTAAAAGCACAAAAATGTGACAAACACAGCACTAAACAGATCTCAAAAAGGATACTTTTTAGTGTACCATAGCTTAAGAAGGCAAAATCACCTTGTTAGACCTCAGCTGGAAATAAGCATGTCAGACAATTCAAATTTCCCCCGCTCCAGGCATGTACACAAATGACTGCCAAAGTGCCATGCCACCAGTACTGATGTTGGAGTTACAAATAAATTTTATTTAGTAGATAAATTTATAACTATGGAATCTGCAAATAATGACTAAGTAGTTACATTTATTTACTACACTTACCTTTGAAGATCCATTTGAATACATCTGTATCATATTCTCTGCACCTTGTTTTACTTTAAGTTCTATATCCAATTGTTTTTGTAGAGCCTTTAATCTATTGTTGCTAGTAGAACAACGAGGGTCACTATTTGGAGTATCTGGAGTCCTTGGGCAATCTGTAAATAAAATATTGTTAAAATTACTTATTAGAATGAATTGCTGCTTAAAATTGGAAGTTAATATTTTTCAAATAAACAGCGTTTTTCAAACTTTGAGATGAGCCTAAATGAAATCTCCTTATGCTTATAGACAATCCATGAATTCAACCAATTCATGCAAAAAAAAAAAAAA